GGACTTTAGACTAACTCCTGCCGAAGGCTTTTGGGACTTCAGCCTTTTACATTTAGCGTCCTATATACGCAAAAGTTATTTAGAAATGATTAAATTATTTTATCTTTATTCCATATCTTAATTCGGCATAATCTTTCTTCGTATACGCAACCGATCACCGTAGTTTTTTTACATTTATTTTGTGAGCAATTTTTCTTTTCTTTTAAAATCACCATTCTTTATGATCTCTTCATGTGAAGAGACTCTTAACGGACATTAGGGAACCCGAAATATGTAATATTTCGAATACGTCACAGTACGCGTGCTAGAAAAAGAAAAAAAAGCATATGACCAGCATACCGTACCCACTTAAGTTTTAATTTCGGTTTAATTAGACGATAACAACTGCAATTGAGATGAAAAGCGAAATTAAAGTTAAACCTTTAATAAGGAGTTGTTTTTTTTAAACCTTTCGCGCTGTTCGATATTTAAATTTAAAATTTAAATGAGTTATTCATTTAATTTTTAATCGCGTATTACTTCAGGTACGTCGAGATCGAAAAACGAACCGACGGATGGACACACGTACAGGGCGCTTTATTTGTATAGATTCTTTAAGGAAACTTATTTGGGATGAGGAAATTAGCTTAGCTTTTTTAGATTCGGTTATTAATGACAGCAGATTTATATTTTTCAGGGAATTCACTGTTATAGTTCAGAAAGCAAAAGTTCAGAAGCCAAAAGAACTAATTGACCTTTTGTAGAAATAAATATGGATAAAATAATCGCTGTTATATTCAATGAGGATATCTAGAAATGGTGTTTTTTATCAATGTTTATACGTGAACTTTAAAACGGATTCTTCTTCAATATATCTGTCATAAATGATGCGCTTAAATATTTTGTTAGCCATATAAAAGTTTGAAAATAAAGGGCCGAGATGCTACACACAACGAGACCATCAGTTGGGGTATAACACCAAAAGTGACTGTGCAAAGGATCTTATAATGTTGAACTTAACGAAAGTTTCTTTGTTTTTTTATATTCTCAGGTTAATTTTCAGAGGTTGCAAAGAAGACTGATGATAAATATTATTTAAAATAATGTCAATTGTTTCATGAATTTTCAACGTCTAAGGATGCGAAGGCTTCATTCTGAAGAGTGAAGAATTTGTAAAAATTTGTTAGTAGAACTGATATTGAATTTGGTAGATAGGCATAGCATGATTAGTTTAAAGTTTTTGATAATTGATTTATTGGGTGCAGGAACTTGAGATGGAGTGGATTGTCTGATTTGGGGATTTTAACAATTCGGTATAGATAGATAGCATGAGATTCGCCGATATTTCGTCATTCGTGGTTATTAGATGATTTGATTTTCCGTGGATTTATATATATATATATATATATATATGTGTGTGTGTGTGTGTGTGTGTGTGTGTGTATATATATATATATATATATATATATATATATATATATATATCAGTCTGTTCAAAATGTGTTCATATATATATATATATATATATATATATATATATATATATATATATATATATATATATATATATATATATATATATATATATATATATATATATATATATATATATATATATATATATATATATATATATATATCAGCTCTTTCATTTCTATCTATTTGTTTATATCTATTTCACTCAATTACTCTGTTCATATCTGCCTATCACAATGTGTCCGTATCTATCTATCTATCTATCTATCTATCTCATTCTGTTCATATTTGCCTATCACAATGTGTCCATATCTATCTATCTATCTATCTATCTATCTATCTATCTATCTATCTATCTATCTATCTCAGCTCCTTCATTCCTATCTATCTATATATTTATCTCTATTGGAGTTCAGATAAACGTAAAAAATAAATAGCGACATTTGTCCGTGAGTGAATGCACACATTTTATATAGTCTATTTTTGTAACGTATGTTTAGCCACTACAGACGTTTGCGAGTGATTGAACGCAGTATTTTATTTGCTTAAAATATGCCCCCCCCCCCGCAAATCCCGTAACTTTTTTCTCAGCGTACAACAACCTATTGTGCAGACGTGTTGTTGAAGCTTTGTAACTGTGTACACTATATTGGTTGTCGAAGTGTGACGACCTGTCTGGGTAAAAGACTTGTAGGCTGACAACTTGCGAAAATGGTGACCGGGTAAGATTCAGAATGCAAAAGCAGACAAAACAAGGTTATAATTGTTATTTATATCTCGGAATAAGGTAGACTGAAAAAAAATAAATAAATAAAACAAAATAAAATAAAATAAAATAAACGCAAACTGTCGTACTTTGAGAAAAAGTCGCGTGCGCGTCTTGGTAGCCTGAGTGTCTGATCGGTCGACACAGATAAAGCCAGTTGGCAAACGTTCAGCTTTGTCAGCTCTGTCTAATCTTGGCTTCCATTCGAAATTAACGAGAGAAGTCAAAGAGAAAGCTAGCAAAATAGAGAGAGAGTAATAGACTGAGAAAGAGGCGGAGATGTTCGCCCGCGTCATGTTGGCAATGGCTCATGGGCGGGCATGTGGTTGCAAAGGCTATATTTAAAACACGACTAGAGTATACGTGAGCGTGTGCGAATGCTCGGAGTTCTTGTATGCTGGCTAATTTGTCCACATACACCCTGCAACATGCTCCTACCCATACACAGTCACATGTACAGCCATTCGCACAGGCTTTGGATTCCTATACAGGTATATATATATATATATATATATATATATATATATATATATATATATATATATATATATACGTACTTGTATACGCATATACAAAGGCGAGAAAACCCTTTAAAAAATCGGATGTTTTGTCATCTACTCAGATTTTTACAAATGGCTTGAACCAAAATATTTTCGGTATTGAGTAATTTTCCCCACCATTTATATATATATATATATATATATATATATATATATATATATATATATATATATATACATATATTAAAGGTAACAAATATAATCCAGGTGGATCCTAGTAATATAAAATATTAAAACTGACAAAAAGAGCTCAATATATTTATTAATATAGAACAATATAAACATAAATATATTATAATATAATAGACGAGCTCAATCCACACTGGGGTTGATAAGACAGACAACTGATATCTTCGTTTGCCGAAATAGGCTATTCCCCATATGAGGTGATATTGGATTTTATTGTTTATATATATATATATATATATATATATATATGAATTACATAAAAATGAAACTCAATTGCGCCTCATTTTTATGGTCGTTTCGCTCATGGGGATAAACTCTCCGGAGATTGTCAATGCTAAAACGTTTTAGTATTGACAAGATCCAGGAAATTTATCCCGACGAGCGAAATGGCCCTAAAAATGGGGCAAAATTGAGTTTCATTTTTATGTAATTCATTTCTATGCTCTATAATAAATATACTGAGCTCTCTTTTGTGGATCAGTTTTAATATTTTATATTAATAGGATTCATTTGGATTACTTAACCACAGATTTTTTACATATATATATATATATATATATATATATATATATATATATATATATATATAGCTACTCTATCGTTATTTCCATGTCAAATGTTCAGACGAGCTACATTCTTTAATTCCACCAGTTCAGACCTTCACAGATAGGACCCGCAATGCCACATACATAAGGTTGAATCGTTCCCATTCCCTTCGTATTCCATTGGGTGTTGGTTTTTTTAAAAAAAAAAAAGTTCTACTCAGACAGTTTCTTCCCAAGTTCCGCTACTTTATGGAAGAAACTACCGAGAGGGTGCTCACCCGATCACTGCAATTTTAACCTCTTCATGTCTATGGTCAACCGTTTTCTATCCTACATATTCTCTGCACTTAGTTCCTCCTCTTACATCCATACAAGAACCTCACTCAGTAGCCATCTACCTCTAGTGGCTCTTTGGCTTTGTATTGAGTGAACATTTAGTTTTAGTTAAATATACGCACCTCAAAAGATTCGCTAAAAATGAGCATACATCATGAAAAACATCTTAATAAAAATCGTCAATAAAAAATATCACTATTATTATTAAGAGGAAATACCAGTGTATAAATTATATGTTTTTAAATCCTTTTTAGAACCTTGAAAATTTTGGTCAGGATCGTTTTTCTTGCGTCAGCAATGAACCATAAATTGGTATAGGAAGTTTTCGCGTATGTTTGAAAACACATTGATTTGGAAATTCTTGCAAAAATCAAATAATTGTCAAATTTTGATGAACCTATCTGAACCCATTAAAAAATGACTGAAATTATTTTAGAAACGTTTCTTTTTTTTTAGAAAATCTTCATAAAATTAATTTTTTTGGATTTGTTACCAACCACTTATTTAATTTTATAAAATTTCGAGAAATTCATTTTTGTATGACTTAATTTTTACATCAGTTATAAACAGCATTTAAGTCATGAAATTTTTTTAATCAGGACATATGTTACCGAAAATGCAATGAACCAAGACATTATTTAATTAAAAAAAGCTTTTAGCTCTTTTTATAAATAAGATATATTATAGACACTAATGTCTTAAGAACATTCTTTCAATAAATAATGAATTTTTACGAAAATTTTCATTTTTTAATTAGAATAATTTATAAACTTTTAAATCTTTTAAAATTCTGTATTAACTTGTAGCGGTTAGGTGATATCCTTATTAAATAAAAACTATATTTACTAATCATAAATATGAAAGATTACTACAATTCAGTGACCCCCGCCCCCACAATATTTTAAAAAAGAATTTTGATTGTTTTGTGTGTGTGAGTATGAACGTGTCGATTTTTGTAAATACGGACGACTATACACAACATTAGTAGAAAATAAGAGTGGCAACAACAGTAAATTTAAAGCCAAAATCCCTAAAATTCAATAAAAAACTGGTATTACTTAGAATATTTTCCTAAGTTTTTAACATTACTGGGTAGTTAAAAAAATATTTAAAAAATGCGCTCACGTTATATTCCTCAAGTAATTTTTACAGATATGAGCCTGTAGAAAAGGTTTCTAAACATAAATCTATCGAGATAATTGTCAACACCACATACAAACACCCAACTAAGTGTTGCAAAATGCTTTTCTGTGATATTTTAAACTAAAAGTAAATAATGATTGTTTAAAACCCGATTAATTAACCTTTAAATCAGCTAATGAAACATTAAAAGAACATAAGGAAAATTTATTCCTTTTATTTGCCTGAAGAAGGTCACGAGACCAGAAACCCGTGTAGCAGAAACAGGAAGGATAAAATATGATATATACATTAAAACAAATCCACATTATAACCAAAACCGTTTGTGGTTTCTTTCTTTCTTTCTTTTTTTAAAATATACGAATATGAAAGTGTTTTGTAAATTAATAAATTAAGAGGTGGAGATTTCTTCTTGGTATGTTGAATACATAAGTTATTCAGGTTTTTCTTTTAGGCATATTTAAGATCTAACATTACAATCTTGCTAAACTTATTATATCCATAACTCTAAACGTTTAAAATTATAACTCACTTCCTTTGATATACTTTCTACCGTCTTATATACCTCTCCATTAATCTATCTTAGATTATGATTCTCATTTTTTTGCGCATATATAATACTAGTAATACTTTTAGATAAATTGATTTATACCCACACTTATTCTACACGTTATACAGTCCGACAATAGGTCAAACTTTGCTTATAAAAGTTATATTAATTTCCCATATTTTTATATACCTTTCTACTTATATCTTAATTTCTAAATTAAAACTTATTGTTTAAAAAAAAACCAAAAAAAAAACCGAATAACTTATGTATTCACTATACCAAGAAGAAATTTTCACCTCTTAATTTATTAATTTACAAAACACTTTCACTGATTACAAAACTAGTAGTGATAACTCCAACCTAAATATATGAAATTCAGCTATAGCTTAAAAAAAAAAAAAAAAAAAAAACCATTCCCAATTACTACTATAACTATCGTTTTAATTTATCCCTCCTTCCTCTTTCATCGTCTTACTATCTCCTATTCGCACCTTCCCTCCGCCACCACTCACTCCTAAAAGGCTTGGAAATGCTGTGCTTAAACCCTTGACCGTTATTGTCGAAAATAATTTTTTCAAGTCTAGCCATTAGTTTAACATCTTTCACCAAACTGCTACCAACAACCTTTCCGCCTTTATATATTATTTTGTTTTCAAACAAATGGAAGAGAGGAAGTGACGTCTTACATGAGGCTTGCTTACAAACAGAATTATTCATAACCATTTTGGTTCTCACCAGTCGAAGTGCAATTAAATGCACTGAAACGAAGTTGCATCTTTGTAGTGAGTAAATTGTCTTTGTTTATATGAAAAATATTATAATCAATAATTATTGTCTACTATTGGTATTGAACTCTCTTTTGAATTAATGCTGTGAACGCTAGAATTTATATATTATTTACGTTCTATTATTTGGGATATATATATATATATATATATATATATATATATATATATATATATATATATATAGGATTAACACAAATATAAAATTGGTCACTGAGCTGATTGATGTTATTTTCAGCATTCCGATTCTAGAGCTTCATAGAAGACCACTCCAGCAATCGCTCCGTCGACTCGTCAGGAGACCTGATACTGCAACGTTTATGATACATTTATATTAATTAAAAAACACGAAATTAAGAATCTGAGAACAATTTCTGACAATAACTCAGCTTTTAATTTTACTTATAGCCTCAACAAAAACAACACGATCTCTTTTGGAGTGACACTGATAGTTTCGAATAATGTCAATGTTGAAATCTCCAGTGATAAAAATAAAACTCAAATCTATGCCTAGTGAACTACAATAGCGAATGCCCATAGAGATAAAAAAAAAAAAAAACTC